GGATTACCTGAAAGTTAAAAGGTCGCCTTATATCAAAAAGGTGAAAAAGAGAGAAGCAATATCAGTAAATCTACTTGAAATAAAGATAAACGGTAATGGCAGCAATGATAAGGATGATGACAAGAGTAACAAATTTATAGCAATAATGATGATAATGACAATAATAATAATAATAATAATTACAATGATAATGATGATGAAAATAACTAATAATATCAATAATAATGATGATGAGAATAATGGTGATGATAACAACAAGGACAACAACAACAACAACAACAACAATGATAATGATACTACTACTACTACTACTAATGATAATAGTAATAATAATGAAAATAATGATGATGATGATACTATTAATGATATAAGTATAATACTAATATTACTAATAATGATAATAATAGTAATACTAATAATGATAATAACAATAATGATATTATTAATAATAGCGATGATAATGAAAATAATAATGATGATAATATCATTAATAATAATAATAATAATAATAATAATAATAATAATAATAATATAATTACAATAATAGTAATGATGATAATAATGATGACAAGAAAAAAAATAATGATAATTACATATCAATAATGATAATATCCATGATAAAGATAATGATAATGATAATATTAATGTTGATTATAATAACTATTAGTAATGATAATAATGATAATAATGATGATAATGATAATGATGTATAATAAATAATCAATGAATACAATGATAATGACAGTAATAATGATAGGCCTACTGACAATGATAGTAATAATAACAATAATAATATCGATAAAAGTAGTGGTAGTAGTAGTAGTAGTAGTAGTAGTAGTAATAATAATAATAATGATGATAATAATAATGATGGCAATAATAGTAATGATAATGATAACAACAACAACAATAGGAATAATAATGATGATCATAATAATAGTGATAATGATAATGATAATAATAATAATAGTGATAATAATGATAATAATAATAATAATAATAATAATAATAAATAATAATAATAATAATGATAATAATAAAAACAATAATAGTAATAGTAATAATAATGACGATGAAAATAATGATGATTATAAAAGTGATAACAATAATGATGATGATGACTATATTGATTATAAAATTAACAACAACGACGACTATGATAATGATAATAACAATAATGGTAATAATAGTAATAAATCTATAATAATGATAATGATGATAATGATAATGATAATAATAATAATTGTAATAATAATGATAATAGTAATAACAATAATGATAATAATAGTAATGATAATAAAAATAATAAAGATAATGATATTAATAATAATGATAATAATGATAATAACAACAGTGATAATGATAATGATAATAATAATGATAATAATAATATTAATAATAATGATAATGAAAATAATAATAGTAATAATGATAATAATAATGGTTAAAATAATAATGATATTAATGATGATAATCATAATAACAATAACCAACAACGATGTTGATGATAATGATAATAATAATAATAATGACACTACTAGTAATACTAATGATGATGATAATACTAATGATCATAGTGATAATGAATGATAATAACAATAATGATGATTATCATACTAATGATAATAGAAATAGAGATGATGATAATGATATTGATAATAGTAATGATAACAATATTAATAACCATTATTGTCGTAATAATAACAATGATAATCATAATAAAATGATAATGATAATGATAATAGCAATTATAATAATAATTATAATAATAGTAATAAAAAAATAATAATGTGATAATAATGACAATAATAATGGTAATAATAATACTGATAATAATGATAATGATAATAATGATAACAAGATGATAGGATAGTAACAATGATAAGACTGGTAATAATAACAATAAGACTAGTAATGATGATAACGTTGATTATGGTAACAATAGAAATAATCGATAATGATATTTGCAATGATAATAATGATAATATAGATGATTCTGATGATAATTATAGTAATAGAAATGATGACAGTAATAACAATAATAATAATAACATCCATAAGAATAATAATGATAACAACAGTAATTATAATGATAATAACAGTAATGATAATGATAATAATCATAATAATGGTAATAATGACGATGATGATGATCATAATGATAACAAAGATAATGATAATAATGATAGTTGTATTGATAATAGGGCCTAATATTACTACTACTACTAACACTACTGCTAATAATTAATGCTAATGACAATGTTAACAATGATGATGATGATGATGATGATGATGATGATGATGATGATGATGATAATAATAATAATAATAATAATGATAATAATAATAATGATAGCAATACTTCTACTACTACTACTAATAATAATAATGATAAAAAAATAATGATAATAATGGTAATGATAATAATAATAATGATAATAATGATAATGATAATAATTATGACAATGAAAATATAAATAGCCATACTAATGATAGTAAA